CCATATTTGTAAATAGAACCCAAAAATTTTTTTTTTTTTTTTTTCAAAATCTATCATTGATTCTGGTGGGGAGAGATCCAACAGAAAAGAACTTTGTTTTGCTGCTGTTGAGTAGGAACACTAGATGGTGCTATTAATAACCTCCAAAGAAGTTTAAACTTAACCTGGAGTATGCATTCATTTAAAAATTAGAATGAATTGCTTTTATACCTTACTCAATATCATGAAAAGGTAAGATTACTAGAATTTTTGCTAGCCCAGTAGCCAACAGAGATTGACAGGAATCAGGAGTGCTTAATGATATTGAAGTAGCAAAAATGTTACCTCTTGGGCTGGAACTGGGGCTCAGTGGTAGCGCACTTGCCTGGCATGTGTGAGGCACTGGGTTCAATTCTCAGCACCACATATAAATAAATAAAATAAAGGTCTATCAACAACTAAAATATATATATATATATATATATGTATATAATATTAATTAAGGTGACCTCTTAATGAGCACCATTACAAAAATATTTAATTAGAATTAATTAGGAGTAATCAATATTTTTCATGGGTTCTTAGGTATTTAGTCAAATTCCCTAAGTGTTAAGATCTCTTTTTGTTGCTGTTATTTATACTGAAATAAACAATTTCATTTTTCTAGCATTGTAGTCCAAAGACAGTTTAGAAGAAGGCAAGAAATATACATTTTTCCCATGTACCATGACTGGTGCTTAAGATTATAAATGCTTTTTTTATAGTGTTAGTGTGTACTCTCCTTTTTTGAAAAGAAAAGGCATTTTTACTTTCAAGATATTTTCCTTGATAAATTGTGATAAAAGATGTTAATTCCCGTTGGCTCAGAAGGCTGAGACCGGAGGATTGGGAGTTCAAAGCCAGCCTCAGCAAAGTGAGACACTAAGCAACTCAGTGAGACTCTGTCTCTAAATAAATTACAAAATAGGGCTGGGGATGTGACTCAGTGGTCGAGTGTCCCTGAGTTCAATCCCTGGTGCGCGCGTGTGCACACACACACACACACACACACACAAGCTGTTAATTCTTCCTGTTTCAGTTTTGATAAAATATAATTGATATTAAATGGATGCTGTTTATTAAGCCTTGGTCACTGCTGAAGTACAATCTAAACATGTTCTTTTAACCCTTGCAAGAACCTTGCAAGAGTTATATTTGCAATGTTCCTAGCTCAAAATGGAAGAAACTAACTCAAAGAGGTTGTTCTACATGCCCATAGAACATAGTGCTAGGAAAAACAAGATTCTGAGTTTAATTCCAAGGGTCCACACCATAGTCTCTTACCCTTATGATGGCATTTTGAGCATTACCATTTCTGCTTTTCACAAATGTTATTAGTGTAAGCAAGCTCGAATTCAGAAATGAGCAAGCAAATGCCATTATTTATTTACATCTAAAGAAGTGATATTTTACTCAGAAATATTTTATTGAACTCTTATTGTATGTCTGCCTCTAAAACCCCTTGCAGAATTGTCAAAACCAGAAGGGAAATCAATATAAGCTTGCTAATGAGAGCATAAACTCATACCCAAAAGATGGAATTAGAGATTTCTTCCATCAAAAGTAGAAATGGGATCATATTTTTATGGAGAAGTTTGAATAGGTTGGTAGCTTGAAAGGAGAATCTTTAGAAAGGCAATCCCAAGTGGCATGGGGTAGGGGGACTGATTTTATATCGTATAGGAAAATACACTTTTTGACACTGCCCCTCATTCAACTTGAGAGTGATTAAAACAGAAGTATAAAGGGACTCAACCTGGGAGCTGTGTTAGACTACATTCTAAAGATACCAACCCCACAAGATTCTTTTTCCCGGTTATTCAGTCAAACAATAATCTAGTAACTGCTGTAAAGGAACTTCGCAGATGGGAATTAAGGTAATACTAATTAGCTGACCTTGAAATGTTAGATTATTCATGGATGATGAATATATACAGATAGGCTCAGTATAATCCCATGAGCACCTGAGGAGTCAAGTCATAGAAAATGTAGTGAAAGGGAGAAGAGAAAGTCTAACCATGGAAAGGATTTGAGTTTTATTGCTGACTCTGGTAAGGACCCATTTGCAAAAAATGGGAAGAGGGTCTCTAGGCACTACAGGGGGTCCCTAGCCCATAGCCAGAGACCTTACTTCCACATCTGCTAGGAACTTTCTTCTGCTAACAACCTGAATGAGCTTGAAGGCAGATTGTTCCTACAGAGCCTCCAGTAAGTAATTTAGCCCTGCCAACACTTTGATTTTAACCTGGTGAAACCTATGTTGGACTTCTACCCTTCCAGAACTGTGAGATAGTAAGTAAGTGCCTACAGTTGCTGAGTTTGCGCTGATTATGGAAACAGTGAATAATACAGAGGACAAAATACACCCTTGTTCATATCATCCTACGCAGTTAAATTGTGTTGTTTATTCCCTTCCAGGCTTTGTTGAAAAATTTATCATTTGCTACATTATAAAAATAATAATGCAGACACAGTTTTGTATTCTTTTTCTCTTACTTTGATCATAGACATTTCTCCATGTTGCTGTATAGTTTTATTAATAATTGTTTTTAATAGGAACATAATGTTTCTTTTAGTAGATAACAGCATGATAGACTTGATATGTTGGACTTTTATGTCACTTTTAGATTATCACCATTATTACACTACAGCAAGCATTTCTGTGCTTATGATCTTATATTTGAAGTAGGTTCACAGATATAAATCATGACTTGGTCAGAGTGTATAGTTGTTTTATAAGACTTAGTTACACACTGGCAAGTCTTATGGCTTACCAGTTTAAGTCATCAGCAAAATAAGAGAACCATGTTTACTAAAGTCATTATCACTATAAATATCTTATATAAATAAAAAGACTAATGGGGAAGATAGTTGATGTAGAGTTTTAAATTTAGTGGTTCCTAATTTGTCCAAAGAATTTATAAGTGACTAGAAAGCTGGATCAAGTACAGTACCTGATTTGAAGAAGCAGGAGAATGAAAAACAGTTATTCTGAATTAGTCAGGTACTAGTTATAAGAGATATGAAAGCAGTTTCTCACATCAGAGCTTATTTTAAAATCAGCTTAGTTTTTTATTATTAGTTCTTAATTATCTGCTGATATATTTTGTCAGAATTATTTTCTAATAGCTGTCAAAACCATAATTATTATGGATGCAATTGTTTTGTTAAATTCCCAACTTATATTCCATTGATATCTTGAAAAATGACAATGTTTAGTCAGGAAAAAAATTGTAAATAACTATATCTTGAATGAGTAGAGACTTAAGTGTTAACTTATAGTATTTTATATGCTTCAGAGCCATAACCTAGAACAGTGGCCTAATACTAAAATACATAGTACATATTTTTGCTCTGTGGCTCTAAAGCAGTTTGTACCTTTAGCTTACTCTTATGTAAATAAACAGTTAAAGTAAAAGACACTGAGCTGGATGTAGTGGCTCGTACCTATAATCCCAGTGTTTCAGAGGGCTATTACAAGTGGATCACAATTTGAGGCTAGCCTCAGCAACTTACTGAGACCCTGAGCAACTTAGTGAGGTCCTGTCTCAAAATTTAAAAAGGACTGGGGCTATTGCTCAGTGGTAAAATGCCCCTGAATTAAATTCCCAGTCCTGCCTGCAAAAAAAAAAAAAAAGGCAATTCAACATAGAAAAAATAAAAGACACCGAGTGTGAAGTTAGTATTCTAGACCTGTTGTGTTGATCTTGAATATGTCTTAACCTTTGGTCTTCTGTTTTCTTTTTCTATATATAGTGGGATTGAATATGTTGAGAAGATGAAAAATGGTCATACAGAAGTATGAAAGTATTTTATATGCAATGAAATAGGCTATAAATAAATGGTACATACAAGGAAATCACTATTTTGTCTCTAAGTGGTATTTAATAGAATGTCCTCAATGCATTCCTATAAAGCACCTAGAAGGGACAAGGCATATGGTAAACATTTAACGTTAGCTAGCATGAAAATGGAGACAGTGACAAAGATTGGTATTAAAACACTCTTTTACTAAAAGATTGTATAATTAAACTGCTTTAGATTCTACCAAAATAAAGTGTATTTAAAATGTTTTATTTTCTAGGATCAAATCTAAATCGCTGTGGTTTCCGAGGCTCTTCATACCTGGGTATTCCGTTCAATCCATCAAAGGTTAGTTCTCTTTGGGTCAGAAGATAGGAGAAGGGATGTAGGGAGATTTTAGTGAGAAAGAAGACTAAGAAATTATTCAGAAAGAACCAGGCTTCCAGGTTTTAATCAGGCTAAATGCTATTTAATAATGTATATTATAAACTGAAACCTCTTAAAGGAAAACAGTATCCCCCTTCCTGTAAGAAATGTCTTTTTTTTTTTTAAAAAAAAAAAAAAAAGCCTCTCTTATTATTGTAATTTGTGACTGCTTGGATTTAAAGTTTATTAAACAATATACCGACTTATTCTGTGTGGAAACCATAGAAAGTTGTTATACAAGAAAGTCATCTAATTAAGTCATGGTGTTAATTTTCTAGTATTTGAAGCAGTACTAACAAACAAAAAGGAGACTATGGGAAGGTGAATTAAGAATATACTTTCATTCTACCAAAACATAAACCTTTTTTCCTCATCTCCTGCTTTTTTTGGGTCCTGGGGATCAAGCTCAGAGTCTGAAACTTGAAAGGCAAGCTCTCTATAAATAATTTATACCACCACCCTCCACCCAGACTCAAAGGAAAACTTTCTTAAATTTAGAAATCAAAGGGAAACTACATTTTTCAAGTGAAGTGTTCTTTTTAAAATAACCAATTAGTAGGATCATCTGAATATTTGAAATTAATTATAAAACTGTATGTGTATTGTGGCATATAGAATTATTTGACATAACTTTTGGGGGTTGGGGTATACCAGGGATTGAACTCAGGGGCACTCAACCACTGAGCCACATCCCCAGCCCTGTTTTGTATTTAGCAACTCGGTCTCACTGAGTGCTTTGCTGTTCCTGAGGATGGCTTTGAATTTGAAATCCTCCTGTCTCAGCCTCCCAAGTTGCTAGGATTATAGGCATACTGCACCTGGCAATATAACTGTTTTTTAATTCAGATTTTATCTATCACAATGCCAAGTCTCAAGGTCTTTATAGGATTTCTTATAAGGAGTCACGCATTTTGTATTTGATAACTGTTCATAGTTACTTTTATTGAAACAGTTCAATCAGGTCAAATTAATTCCACCCATATTGTGGTAATGAGTCTCTTAAGTCTTATTTCTTATCTTTGTCCAATTATTAGTCTAATAATTGTCCTTGTGTAAGAACGTAGGCTTCATAAAATGCTCTTTGCAAGCAATACCCATTTGAACTCTAACTATCTACATACTTCAAGTTAACACTATTTCCAGTTTTTCAATTGTAGTACTTTGAGTTTCTATTTGCATTTCTTTGTTTTTTGCTATCCAAAGGGCTAGTGTTTTAGTAGAGGTTCAAATAATTAAACTTTATATAGGAACAGAATGATTTAGTTTTTCAGGTATATTTTTTAAAAATCTATGATTGCACTTTAGTATTTAATTTACATTTGTGTTATTTAAAGTTTTTATTTCTTTTATAAATCTTTTCTGTTTAAAAGACTATGTGCAAGCCTGGTATGGATCATTGGTTTGAGGCCAGCTGGTGCAACTTAGCAAGACCTTGTCTCAAGATGAAATAAAAAGGGCTGTTGATGTAGCTCAGTGGTAGGCTCTTGCCTGGCATGTGGGAGGCCCGGGTTCAATCCCCTTCCCATAAAGACTTAAATTATAAATAATATGAAGTTCAAATAATTTGGGTTATTCAGAATCATAACTACTTCCATAAAGCTTTTGAGGGGTCTAAGATAAATTTAAATATTGTGTTGCCTGAAATATATGTGATCATATTTATATTGAGACTTATATAAAAATGGAGGTTTGCTGGGCACAGTGGCACACACCTGTAATTCTAGTGACTCAGAGGTCCTGGACAGAAGGATTACAAATTTAAGGTCAGCCTTGGCAGTGTAGTTAGGATCTAGTCTTGACCCTGCCTCAAAATAAAAAATAAAGTGGGCTGGGGATATAGGTCAGTGGTAGAGTGTCCCTAGGTTCAATCCCCAGTACTGGAGGGGGAAGATTAATGGAAGTTTATTTTTCTCAGTTGTGTATACAAATTGGTATATATAACATTCAATTTTACTGTTTATTAACACCTCATGTCAAACTAATTAATTAAATAAGTTTTAATTTCAATTTATTAATTAATATATTTTTAATTTAGAATCCTGGAACGGCTCATCCTTATGATAGTGGCCACATAGCAATGACCTACACTGGCCTTTCATGTTTAGTTATTCTTGGGGATGACTTAAGCAGAGTAAATAAAGAAGCTTGCTTAGCAGGCTTGAGAGCCCTTCAGCTGGAAGATGGAAGGTATGAGTCATGTCTTGTTATTTTTTTGTTTTGGAATTTAAAAAGACATAATACTAACTAGACCTTTAGAGGATCGTGTAGTATTCTTAGAACTACTTACAATTTATTGAATACATTGTTAAGTGCTTAATCAAAAAAGTAATCCAGGAATTTTTTTTGTGAATGAAAATAAAAGTAATTTTATAATAGCATAACTCTTTTATCTCTTTATTTTTAATTAATTTACCTATTAAAGGGAAAAATTGATATTTGGAGGCAAGTATACATTTATCTGAATATTTCTTAAAAATATTGATATAGGAGAAATGGATGAACATGATATTTTCAAAGGCTAGAAAAAATAGTGTACTATTATTTGGTAGGTTATATAGTGTATCTAAAGAATTTTCCAAGAGTTTTAAATCAAAACAGTTTTTAAGTCTGCAAAAGTGACAAAGTGATGCAGTTTAAGGAAGACTTTGCAAACAAATCCTGATGTATTATTACATCTTTATGCTCATCTACTGATATTTCTTTTCCTGACAGTATTTTTTAAAACACTGCTCCTTATGAAGGAAAAAATTAATGTAGACCTATAGAATAAAGTGAAATTTGTTGGAAATACTACAATACTTCAGCCAGAATGTATGATAAATATTTCACTATAGAACTCAATTACTGATACCTTATCTTTGTTTATAACACATATTATTACATGTCAGAAACTAGCTGTGTAACAGTTAAAACAATATGATCAATCAATTAATAATTATCTGTATGTACATTTAGAAGAAATTTCCCAAAGCAAAATATGGGCTTGGAAATAGGACTCAGGTTTTCCCTTCTACTTTTTTTTGCCATTAATTCTCAAAATAGTGTATTGCAGCTTGCCTCCTATTGGAGTATATAAGCTTATTCTGAATGGTGGCATCTGGGAAAAAGGTAATATGGTAGTGTATAATACTACCCAGGAACCAGAACTTTGAGTAGAATGTTGATTTTAGAGATCATTTTATTTTATTCAGGTTAGTAATCCTTTTATGTAATACATGTAGAACATGGTTTCTGAATGAGTGATAGATATTTCTGTAAGACACAAGAGTAGGTGTTTCTAACTCCCTTGCAAAAAAAAAAAAAAAATTTAGTCTAGCATTAATAGAATATCATTTTACCGGTTTTATTTTCAGTTTTTGTGCTGTACCTGAAGGCAGTGAAAATGACATGCGATTTGTGTATTGTGCTTCCTGTATTTGCTATATGCTGAATAACTGGTCAGGCATGGATATGAAAAAGGCTATCACCTATATTAGAAGAAGTATGGTGAGTTATGTTGATGACACTGACTAGATTATTATTGGTAGTGTATGAGAACTTCCGTAATAATGTATACCTCATCTCTTCCATCAAGAATTTGGAAATAAGGGCAGTAAGATTGATTTCTTGATACTTCTTATATCAGAACACTATATAGAAATAATCTTAAAGAGCAGATCGACTCCTTGACCATTAAAATTTAATACGTGTGTGTGTGTGTGTGTGTGTGTGTGTGTGTGTGTAACACAAGGTTTATTTTAAGGCTGATACCAAAATAAAAACGCTGTTCTTTCACACAGTGTAATTTAATCTTTTTATTGGTGATAATAAAGAATGCTTAGTCTCAGCCATAATTATTCTTTGTTCTATTCCATCTCAAATATAAAATTGAAGTCTGAATGAAATAGTGAATTTTTTAATATATTGTTGATTTATTTAAATTAAATTAAAATTAAAAAGAGAAGAAACAAACTTGAAGGAAGTAGAAGTGCTGCTTTCCAGGTTTCCATAGTTGCTTCCCAAATATGAAGATTTTAAATTTTGTAAATTAGAATTTTCAAGACCGTTAATTTAACTTTTAGTTGGCATTTTAGTATTTTGTAATGAAAATTTAAGTTCTTAGAGGAATGGAATTGGTTTTAACTGAATATGTAACTGTGGCTCAGATTTTATAGGATCTACTATAGCACAAATTTTTAAAAGGTATGGATACAGAAAGAAAAGATCCTTAAAGGAATTTTTTTAAAAGGAAGAGAGATTTATATTAGGAGGTTAGGTATATGCATTTTGGGCATGAATGGTACAGAAATAATACTGTCTTCGCAGTGCATTGTGTTCGGAGGTAAGCCATGTTAATTTGCCTTATTTCTTCCCACTTGGTTTCTCTGTAAAGTTAACATTTTTCTCTTTGCAGTTAGTATTTTATCCATTAATGTTGTTAGTATGCATTAATGGTTTTCTAGCCCTAGTATTTATTCTGTAAATAGTAATTGAAATTCTCTTGGGAAAAATCTCCTCACTGCCTTTGTTTATTTACTACTTCAAGAAGGCAGTGAAAATGACATGTGATTTGTGTATTGTGCTTCCTGTATTTGCTATATGCTGAATAACTGGTCAGACGATAAAAGGCCATCACCTATATTAGAAGAAGTATGGTGAGTTATGTTGATGACACTGACTAGATTATTATTGGTAGTATATGAGAACTTCCGTAATAATGTATGCCTCATCTCTTCCATCAAGAATTTGGAAATAAGGGCAGTAAAATTGATTTCTTGGTACTTCATGGACTCTAGATTCTTATTTTATTTAGTGAAATATAATTGCTACTACCATTATTTACTTTAATGCTCGGATTGTCTTAGATTTGACTAATGAGAACCTTTCAGGCTGACTCATTTTCGATGCCCTTTTGACATGTTTCCTCATTCTTCAAGGACCTTTTGCTTTCTGACACAGTTATTCCAAGTTTACTTTCCCAGTCTTAGCCCTGAAATCAGTAATTTCTTCATGGACCCCTGGTTTGTATTGGGGGGTGATATTTAGGGATATGGATACCAAGTATGCTCATTAGTATTGTGATATCGTTGCTTTTAGGCCCTCTCTCACCATGCAGAGTTCATACATGAATACATTTAGTTAAGCATATGTAGATACTCTCTGTATACACATTCTGTGTCTTTTTTATCAGTTTATTAAAAATCAGAAGTTCATATAAATACTTCAGATTCTAAGCTAATACCAGTTAAGTTTGTTTCTGTTTGGATTCCTCCCATTCTGCACCCTGCCCTCCAATTTGTTGGTTTTTGTTTATTAACATGAAGCATTAATTTGGTTCTGAATATCACAGCAAAAAGATGCAGTCATAGAAGGTTGACTCATTATTTCCATCTTCCAAACCCTTCTTAACCCCTAGATTTAACATCTTATTCCCATTTACTATAGGTAACCATTCTCATTAATATTTGGATTTTCTTTTCTGTCTCTGCCTTTGATGAAAAGACGTGTATATTTTCTTTTTTCTTTTTATTTTTTTTAACTGGAAGTATAGTATACTATAGTTTGTTTGTTTTGGTAGTTTATTTTTTATAAACTGAACAGTACACCTTAAAAATCATTTGTCAGTTCATCGGGATTTTCCTCATTCTTAACAATTTTATATTACTCCAGTGGGTAAATATGTCATAGTTTTTTCAAACAATCTACATATAGAGCACTGAACAGTGCTATAATTAATAACTTCATGCTTGTATGTTTATTATTTTGTTAGGAGTGTATTTTTCAGGATCAATTTGTGATTGTGGAATTGCTTGATCAAAAGCTAAATACAAACTGGGTGCAGTAGCACATGCCTATAATCCCAGCTGCTTTGGAGGCTGAGGCAGGAGGATCACAGGTCCAAAGCCCTTCTCAGCAATTTAGCAAGACCCTGTCTTAAAATAAAAAATAAAACAGGGCTGAGGATGTGGCTTACTGGTTACACATCTTTGCATTCAATCCCTGGTATCAAAAACAAAAACAAAAGCTAAACAAATATATGTGTAATTTTATTAGGTATATCTCATTTTCTCTCCAAAGCAGATGGACCAGTTTGTATTCCTACCAATGTAGACAAATGCCTGTTTTCATACAGCCTTGCCAATAGAATGTATTTTTATCTTTGTATCCTGGTGGTTGAAAATGATGTCAGTTAATTTTTAATTTGGTTTTGGGTGTTTCTTTTTCCCCTTGTTCTCATTTTTTGGAAAAGAAAAAAAAAGTGAGGGATTTCAGTTTTATGTATGTTCTTTTGTGTTTAGTAATTTCATGGATTATTTTTCTTAAAAGAATTTCTACTTTAAGGCTACATACTTTTTAATACAACTAAGTATGATTTCTGAAGTGGATGACTCATTTTAGTAGCAGGGAAAGGGTTGTATGTTTTGTGCTCTTTCTGGCAGAAAAGAGATTCTCTCTTGTTTCTCGGGTTCTTTTGAGTTTTTCTTATTACCTGATCTTCAGAGGGCCTCTCATCCTTTTTGACTTTCTTCACCAAAAATCATGCCCTTTGAGAACTGCCACCTTGACTTGTGAACCATTTTAAATCCCTTCGCTATATTCAGTGCTTCATTTTACCAGGCCTCTTTCAGATAGGCTGTCCGTGATTTGCATAGAAGTACCAAACCATAATGATAACCATGCAAGCTGAAATTATGCAAAGTGATTTTAATCATCAGTAGAGAAAATGGTAATTGTTCTATGACCTTTAAAATTTTTTGCCAAAACATGAAAATCTTACTGTCAGGAACAAATGTATGCAGAATTTTTAATAATAAAATGAATATTTATTACACTATAATTTTAAAACATTAGAAATATGAGAATTAAAATGTTCTCTTTGAACAACACTTTGCCTTCTCATTACATAAGTAATTATAAGAAGTAAGCAATTTTTAATTTGTCTAGGCCAACAGTCATACTCCCTTCCACGTTTCAGATAGTTTTAAGTATGTTCGTTGTGTTTTCGATGTTGTGAAATATCTCTGAGATTGTTGCATTTTTTCCAGCAGCAATTCTCTAGAACATCTTTATCCTTTTCATCTCAACCTCTTTCCTTACTCATGTTGATATTTCACTTGTTTCTTGTGATTGCATATCTAGAACCTCTCAAGCAGTAGCATTTTCAAATTTTGAGTGACAACTATTTCTTCTGTAACTGTTTGATTTCATGTTTATTTACAATGTTATTGCTTTTTATTTCTTTGCTGTACTTTTCATCTTTTTTGTGGGTAATCCTTTCTTTTCATTATGCATTTTTGTAAAACAGCATGTGAGTTTGTCATCGAAGGATAAAAATCAGTACAGCCATATGCTCACTATGTGAACTGAACAGTATGCAATGACCAATTACTAACAGACTTCGAAAAGGAGGATGTGATTTGCCACTGGTTATGATATATATCTGTTATTTATGTAATGACATGTGGACTAAAAAATTTATAATTTATGCAGTTATAGTTAATACACTTATTGAAGTTGAATTATTTTTAGTTTTAAAGGTATGGTAATTGGAATTTGTATATATTGGAACTATGCAAAGCAAGAATTGTTGTGTTTTTGGTATTAGGTGAACCTTCTTTTTTAGGCAGTGATTTTTTTTTTTTTTTAGGCGAATTTCAGGTCTATCATAATCCCCCTCTACCATCCCCCCCTTTTTTTTTCTTGTGATTTTTCACAAATCACTCTTGCTTTGTAAATCTGTGAGGTGAATAGAAGCCTACATTTTGAGAGCAAATTTTCACCCCTCACACATCAGATACAGCACCAATCTCTAGTGTATATAAAGAACTCAAAAGGTAAACATCAAATAACCCAATCAATAAATGGGCCACAGACCTGCACAGACACTTCTCAGAAGAGGGCATACAATCAGTCAACAAATATATAAAAAATGTTCATCATTCTCTAGCAATTAGAGAAATGTAAATCAAAACTACTCTAAGATTTCATCTCACTCCTGTCAGAATGGCAGCTATTATGAAGACAAACAATAATAAGTGTTGGTGAGAATGTGGGGATAAAGATATACTCATACATTGCTGGTGGGACTGCAAATTGGTGCAGCCAATATGGAAAGCAGTATGGAGATTTCTTGGAAAACTGGGAATGGAACCACCATTTGACCCAACTATCCCTCTCCTCTGTCTATACCAAAGGACTTAAAAGTAGCATACAACAGGGACATAGGCATATCAGTGTTTATAACAGCATAATTTGTAGTAGCTAAACTGTGGAAACAAACTAAATGCCCTTCAATAGATGAATGGATTAAAAAAATGTGGCACATATACACAATGGAATATTACTCAGCAATAAAAGAGAATAAAATCATGGCATTTGGAGGTAAATGGATAGAGTTAGAGAAGATAATACTAAGTGGAATTAGCCAATCAAAAAAAATAATGTTTCTCTGATATAAGGTGATTGATTTATAGTGGGATAGGGAGGAGGAGCATGGGAAGAATAGACAAACTCTAAATAGGGCAGAGAGGTAGGAAGGGAAGGGAGGGGCAGGGGGTTAGCAATTATGGTGGAATGTGATGGACATCATTATCCAAAGTACATGTATGAAGACACAAATTGGTGTGAACATACAACCAGAAATATGAAAAATTATGCTCTATATGTGTAATATGAATTTTAATGCATTTTGCTGTCATTTTTTTAAAAATCAAAAAATAAATAATTTTTTTAAAAAAGTATATCAGGGATTTGACAGGTGGGTTGCTGAAATTTGATATTTCTTTTTCTATAGACAATTGGTAATCTGTAGCTTAAGAATTTCTTGTTGCTTTGCTAAGGTTTAAGTTTTGTAATTTTATTCTTATTCTGTTTTGATTTTTGTAACAATATGGGGAGATTGAAATTTAGGCAATTCTTACCCTTCAGCAAGTCCAAACTGTCCCAACAGATTTGTTTCATGCTTATAAAGTTTTATGACTCTAAAATCCTTATATTTTCATTCAACTCTTATGTAGTTGCAAATGGGAGAGAAGGAGGGGTTTGAGCTTTATTAGATAAAAACTGAATATGTAAGTACTATCTTTGAACAATCTAGTCTCAGAATTATATGCATTTAGTGATTTGACTTAGTGAATAAAAGATCAGTTACTTGGAAAATGCCTACTTCTACTTCTCTGTGGAGAAAAGTGCAAATTTTGAAAGTTATAAAGGAAAAGCGAGGATAAAAGATTTTTAAAACAAAACCCACAGTGGCAACTTTTAGTCATTTATTATTCCATATTTTTTCCTGTTAAACTAAATAATATTTTTCTTTTTCAGTCCTATGACAATGGGCTGGCACAGGGAGCTGGACTTGAATCTCATGGTAAGACATCTTAAATGAATGTGTAGTTTCTTTTGTTTCTTTAAACAGCATCATGTTATAGCCAATATGAAAGGTACTATATTTGAACAATCTGAAATTTGTCTCAGACCTTGATGTAGCCTTATTATCTTCTTTGTCGCTTTCCTGCTTCTTTCTTTAGATACAATTGTACCTATTTGAAGCCTCTTGGGTCAACATTCATTAAGGGATCATTCAAACTAGTGTTCATATAATATTTTCTAGTGACTTATTCAAGTGTTAGCCGCACGAAAATATCTTGGGATTATTTCTTGACCTTTGTTAGAAAACAGCAGGTTATTTTCTCGGGCATAATGTTAAAAGACCAGACCAAAGAACATGAATCAAATTCAATGAAAAGATGAAAATTTTGTTCCTTAATATAATTATCCATAGACATAGCCATAAAACATTTTGCTATTTAACATAGGTTTAATAACTACATAAATAGTCTCTTCTCTCAAATTTTCCTCACTTTTGGCAGAAGTCAAATAGTGAGATGATAGTCATTAAGTTGTCAGCACATCAATAGTTTTAACTCTCTGAAATTGAAGTTGCCATTCAGAAGTAAATAAACTTGCATTCTCCTTTTCTAAAAAGGAGTCGTCCAGATTTCTCTTCATCACAGCAGGTTTTTGGGTTTTTTTTATTTGTTTTGTTTTGTTTTTAAATATGCTCATTTGTTGTCTCCATCCCTCTGCTAGCATAATAGAATAGGAAGAACAGATCAGTCTTTGGGCCATGATCCTGGCACCAGCTGTGTGACCTTGGCTCCTTTCTTCAACTCAACAGAGTGGAAATAATTGTCTTTCTTTAGATTATAAAAAATAAAGGGGAAAGTTGCTTGTAAACTATAAAACATATATAAAAATTTTATATTCCTTGACCCCATGACCTTACATATCTCCCAGGATGTTGTGCTATCAGATATCTCCTCCTTCTCTTTCATCTTTACTCCTTCCTTCAACATAGATATTTGTAGGTATGTGTTACTAGGGGTATGTGGAGGACTATCTTGGATTTTCCTCTGAAATCATACTGTAATTTTGGCACCATAATTCTTGTGTGTATTGAAGTTATACACGATTGCTTGTAGGTGGAACTGGTGATAGATATACTAAGCAGCAAAGGCTCACTGGCCTAAGCACATAGAATCCCATCTGATGGCACTAGTTATTGCAAAAAGAGTGTTATTGCACCGCCAACAGGGAGATCAGGAGCGATAAGCTCAAATCTGCTTCCCTGGTCTGGTGGTAGGTATCAGAGAAATTTATAGGAAGGGAAAGGGAAGAAGCTGCTTATGATAGAATATCAAGGGGGAGTTTTGGGGTGCTTTGCACAGGTATAGATGGTCATCATGCCTCTTTATAGGTCACATGTTTCTTTTCTGGAGGGAAGTATCTTGAGCTTGTGATGTCAAAGGTCATAACTAGAGAGCTGATTTCTTCAGCACATGATCATTCTTGACAAGCTGGTATCATACTGTCCTTGAGACTTATCCTACAGGAGAGAGCTTTGTTATTTTAAGACTTAACTATTTAAGTTATTTTTAACAAAGTTAAGTCTTTAATTTAAAGACTCTGTCCAGCTGGCACGTTGGTGCATGTCTGTAATCCCAGCAGCTTAGGAGGCCAAGGCAGGAGGATCATGAGTTCAAAGCCAGTCTCAGCGACTTAGCAAGGCACTTAACAACTCAACGAGACCCTGTCTCTACATAAAATATTTAAAAAGAGCTGGGGATGTGGCTCAGTGATTAAGCACACCTGGGTACATTCCTGAGTACCAAAAAACAACAAAAAAAGACTTTGTCCAGGAGGTCTTAACCAGTTTTCTTTTTTTTTTTTTTTTTTTTTTTTTTTTTTTTTTTTTTTTTTTTTAGAGAGAATGAGAAGAGAGAGAGAGAGAATTTTTTTAATATTTATTTTTTAGTTCTCGGCGGACACAACATCTTTGTTGGTATGTGGTGCTGAGGATAGAACCCGGGCCACACGCATGCCAGGCGAGCGCGCTACCACTTGAGCCACATCCCCAGCCCCAGTTTTCTTAACAGTTACATTGCTGGTTCATCCATATGATTTGTAGTGATACTAAGAGAAAATAGGCTGACTCTAAAAATTTCAGAAAAGATAGCTCACAGCTGTAATGCTCTTTGTAACACTCTAGCTGGGCAAACATTTTACCAGCACAGGAGACCTGTGGGATAGACACTTTCATTTCCAAGAAATTGGAATTATGTCTTCTGGGATATGAAAGAGGGGCTGCTCAAACATGATACTCTTGGAAGGCTCCTGTCAGGATAAAAATCTTCCTGAGGCATATAAGTCATTTTTTTGAGTTGGTTTGACCAGAGTAGGTTGTAGCCATCAGGATCATCAATGATGTGCTGCAGTTCATGCCAAAAAACTAATATCTGCCTTTTATCTATATGTTTGTCTTGGTAGGTTCGAGACTTAAATCCCTAGAAAAAGAGTTTCCTAATCAGAATGCCACAGTATCCTGATACATCTCCATAAATTGTAGGTATTTTCAAATACTTTATATATTGTGAGGTGAGTGAGGCTGAAAGGAGTACTACCCTAGAGGACTTTGGCGTAGCCTTTCTTCCGTCTTTCAGCACTATCTATGCTAGCAAATGAAACTTTTTCCTAAAACGAAGCCCTGCAATTTGCCAGACCCATCAAGTGATTGCTTTCTCCCATTTTTTTCTTATTGTTAATCTTTTTTTTGGAAAAGTGATCCAAAAATACTATTTGCTCATATTTGCAAATGGCACTTGTTTATTTATTTATTTATCTATCTGTCTGTCTGTCTATTTATTTATTTAATTATTTTGGTGCCAGGGATTGAACCCAGGAGCACTTAACCACTGACCTACATCCCTAGCCCTTTTTTATCATTTTGAAACAGGATCTTGCTAAGTGCTTAGGGCCTTGCTAAGTTGCCGAAGCTAGCCTTAAACTTGTGATCCTCCTGCCTCAGCCTCCAGAGTAGCTGGGATTTCGGGCATGTGCCATCACATCTAACTTACTCTTTAATTTTCCATGTAAGCCTTCAACAACTTAAGAAGTTTGTCTTTTAAAGTTTACTTTTCAAATTCAGTATGTCTTGCTTATTTCTCATCTTCTGTTCTTTGAAGCATTGAAAGATGTTTATCTCCTTGCTTGTTTCTTGAAATATCATCTTCTGTTTGTACAACTTTCTAATTAATTGTATGTGGTTTCTTCACCATCTTTGTTTTTTCCTCATACCTCTTAACTTCAGTTCATTTTTCCTTTTTTCTTTTTAACTTCCTTTCTTTAATAAAATTTTTTGGTTGTATAGATTGATGGGATTTATTGCAATATATCCATAAACACACACACAGTAAATTGATCATATCCATCCACCTTTCTACTTTCTCCTAGCCTACGTCTCGTGTCCCCCATACACTTGCCAGTCACCAGTAATCCCTTTTCTTTCAGGACTTTTAAAGTGAATTTATCTTTTTTTTTTTTTTTTCAGTTTCCATATGAGAGAGAGAAAATACAATACTTGTCTTTCTGTGCCTGACCTATTTTGCTTAATAGTGAAATAATGTCCTCCATTTCCATTTATTTTCCTGCAAATGACAGAATTTCATTCTTTTCTATGGCTGAATAATACTCTCTGTGTTATACACACACATTACATTTTCTGTATCTGTTAATGAGTACCTGAGCTGCTTCCCTTTATAGCTATCACGAAAATAACCACTATAAACATGGGCATGCAGGTGTCTGCTTTATATGCTGACTTCATTTGCATAGTAGCTATTAGTTCACATTCCCTCTAGCAGTGTTATAGGTTCCTTTCTCTCCACATCCTTGCCAGCATTTATTATTTTTATTGTTAATAATAGCCATTCTAACTTGATGAGATGGGTATCTTATTGTAGTTTTGATTTGCATTTCCCTGATGGCTAATAATATTGAGCATTTTTCATTTATTTTATTGGCCTTTTGTACTTTTTTTTTTTAAGAGAGTGAGAGAGAAGTTTTGTTTTGTTTTGTTTTGTTTTTGTTTTTTTAGTTTTTTTTTTTGTTTTTTTTTTAGTTTTCGGCAAACACAACATCTTTGTATGTGGTGCTGAGGATCGAACCCGGGCCGCATGCATGCCAGGCGAGTACGCTATTGCTTGAGCCACATCTCCAGCCCCTTTTGTACTTCTTCTTTTGTAAAGAGTCTGTTCAGATCATTTGCCCATATTTTTAATTTGATTACTCATTTTTTGTTGTTTTTTAGTTCTTTATTCTAATATAAGCCTTATGTCAGATGAATAACTGGCAAATATTTTTTCCCATTCTGTAGGTTCTCTCTTCACTCTTGTTTCTTTGCTGGGCAGAAACTTTTTAGTTTGATGTAATCCTGTTTGTTAATGTTTGCTTTTGTTTCCTGAGCTTTGGAAGTTCTGTTCAGAAAATCATTGCTTCTACCAGTATCTTTTAAGTTTTTCCCCTGTGTCCCTTCTAGTAGTTTCAGAGTTTCAGGTTTTACATTAAGGACTTTGATTCAGTTTGAGTTGACTTTTGAATAGGGTAAGAGATAGAGGTCAAGTTTCAATCTTCTGCTTGTGGAAATCCAGTTTTTCTAGCAGCATTTGTTAAAAGAGGCTATTCTTTCTTCAGTATATGTTTTTGGCATCTTTGTGAAGACTCAATTAGCGATAGATGTGTGGATTTATTTCTGGGTTCTCTATTCTGTTCCATTGGTCTGTTTTTATGCCAATACCATACCATTTTTGTTTCTGTGACTCTGTAGTATGTCTTGAAGTCAGGTATTGTGATGCCTCTATCTTTGCTCTTTTAGCTCAAGATTGTTTTAGCTATTTGAAGTCTTTTGTGCTTCCATATGAATTTTAGGGTTTTTTTTTTTTCTAATTAGGTGAAGAATGTCATCAGTATTTTCATGGGGACTGCATTCAGTGTGCAAATTGCTTTGGGTAGTGTGAACATTTTAAACAATAT